AGGTTTAGGTTTAGAATTACAATAAATAAAATAACAATTAATTTGTTGGCGTAATGCTTTGGAGAAAGGAAAGCCAAACTATATACGAAAAAGTCAGCTCTCTGTCCATCCATTCCTAGCTAAAAATGTATGTTTTACATGCATGTGTACATATATATACATGTATGCACTTGTGTGTATATTCACACACAAAGAAATAAAAGCATTTCAAAGAAGTAGTTTCAATTAATTGAAATATATCAGGTGTTATGAGAATGTTACATATTAACTACTAATTACTAATTGATGAACTTACATTTCTGTTGAGCCATTATATCAATACTCTGAACAAGAGTCTTTTAATACAGCTGATCTCACAAAATAATTTAAATTATTTTTTAGATTCCCATAGTAAAAATAACACTTCATTATTACAATGGAAGTAATATCAGTCAGTAACATTAGTTTAAAAACTTAACTTTAATATTTCCTGAGTTTCGGAGCATTTGTCAACATGATCTGAATTTCCGTTGATGTGGATATTTTTTTTTTTTAATGCAGAATTCATAATAGTACTCATTGTTTGCTTCTCCATGTCTTGCTAGGCTATTATTTATATTATCTGTGGTACCTTATCTGCAGAGCCATAGTAAGTTAGGCACCTTTATTTTGCTGATGAATAGCAGAGGGGATTCACGAAATACTTTAATGTATATTACCTAGGAAGAAATGGGGTATGTTAGACATACTTGGTATGTGAAGTGTATTTTCATTATTACACTCAAATAGTATAAAATACAATTAATGGTCTTTGAATTGTATTGGTAATGGCTAATAAGAGAAAAGATCCTTATTATGTTGGATAAGACCGTAAACATTACTATTTTGAGAATAGTTTTAAAACATGCATACAAATTATATTTGTATGATTTTGATTACATTATCAGAATTATGATTAGTGTGGAAATACATTTAAACGGAACACTGATTATTTTGTTAACTAAGGGTTTGCACTGATTATTGTCACTGATTTTTAAAGTGAACGTAATAGTAGATCATGACCAAAATCCAAACCCTACAATTCAGGCCAAATACTATTGATGTTTTTCATAAGCTCCTCTATAAAGGAATGGGCTTTACTGAAATGAGTAAAATAAGCAGGATTAAACTCTTTGTTGAAACGACAATATATTTATTTTACTATGGAGCACTTGAATTTTGCGGATACTCGATTATATAAGCAGCTGATCAAAAGGTTTGCCTATAATCTGCCCAGCCACCTAGTCTGTGTCTAACTACAGTCACAACAGATATCAATAATTTTCAGGAGTTTATAACCTGTTAATGATGTAATCTAGTTAACAGGTGGTCAGGAATCATAAAGTTCTGTTTTGAGTGTTCTGACAGATGAAGACAAATCAAATAAAAGAATCTGCTCCATTAAGAAAATGGGTATTTTACAATGAACCATTATTATTTACCACTATGATTAAAAATAGGCATGACTCATTTTATCAAACATGTTTCTGGGACAATTGTTTAAGGCAGTGTGTGGTTCTAAATCTAGAAACTATGCATTGCCTCAAAGACATTCCTTGACCTTTCAACAATAAACAAAACCAGGTGAATCAATTGGTTTTCTTTAGTTATGTATAACTGTTTAATGGACTTTAGCTGACAAGTCATTACCCATGAAAATTATGAAGTATATTAATGACACTGATTTTTGAGTGCTTGTTAAGACTAGAAAGTTATCCTGGATTGAAGCAGACTATTAATTTTAACAGCTATTTTTCAACAACACTACCTGTGACCCTGCCTATTCCAGAAATGACTGTCACATTACAAGGACATGAAACCACTTACAGCTATTTTTGAATAACTCCATCAGTAAACAAGCCCTTTTAGCCTATCTTCTACTTTGACAGATTGTCCAAGATACAAATTTGGTCAATAAAACCAAAATGTTCTTTTTAAAAGTTAAAAAAGTCACAGCCAACAAACAATGTCACTTCTAAACAACTCCCTAGTTTCATGTCTCTGTCTCTCTCCTCCTCCCACCCAAAATAAACATATCCAGCTTGCAAGATGCTGACCAGTAATGAGAGACACTGCACATCTATCACATCCACTGCCTCAGGGGGAGGCAAGAGCACATAGGTTTTTGCAAGACCGTGTTTGAACTATGGATATAAAACTCAAAAACCTAGAGGAAGGCAAAAGAGAATATGATGAGTATTTATCATTCCTAATACAGGTCCCGGTTTCTACCCTGCAAAAAGTATGCTGAAGAAACACTAAAACACTGGTTCCCAAAAACACCCAGGTGAAGATTGTTCCCTGGAAGGGAAACAGTCAAACAGACAGTGTTTTCATAGGAATATCTTATGATCGTGTTGCACAGCAGCTTATGAGAAAGCTTGAAAGTTGTGTTATTACTCCCACAGGAACCAGAGCCGTTATTGTGCCATTGACCTGCTTCACTACTGTATGTGTTTTACACTTATTAACTCTCATGGTGCCCCTCAACATTAAATTTACACCAACTCTGAATGTTACCCAATCTATTTATTTATATAAATTACTTTAGATAAGCCTACTCTTAATCTGCTGTGAAGGTCCTTTAAGTCGTCTCACATAATATTTCTTGTTGCATTCTACAGTGCTGCTGTTGTACATTTTCCCTCTCTTAACATAAAATATATGATGATATCCACACCTTGTATGTATATTGAAATGTCTTTTGTTTCAAATGACAAGTAGATTGCACCTTCTCAAACTCTCATACAAAATTAAGTAAAAGGAGAAAGGGAAAAAATATTGCAAACAATATTAAAAAAAAAAAGCACCGTGATTGTAATTAGCGCACAATAAGAATTTACTGCCCATTTTCTGTTTAATTTAACTGTTTATGTAACAGTCCTAACTCTATAGCTTAGCAGGAAGGACACACGAGTAGAAGTGGGAGAGAGGCAGTGTATTAGAAACCTTCTTTAAATTCAGAAGGAGATTGGTTATCACATACACATATTTAGCTTTATAAAATAAGCATAGTCAAAATTACTGAACTTGAATCCATGAAGTGGGATATTCAGATTCTGCAGCTTCAGTGGCTTAAGAAAATTCCAAGAATATGTCCAAGGAAAACCTTGTCATTGGCCTCATTTTGCTTAGGAGAGAACCAGAACTAAGATGTCATTGCCTTATTCAAGCCAGATGAACTGAGATAAATGGGACAACTGAAAGTGATTATGGGAAGCAGAATTTCAAAATAAGACTGAGGAAACATAATAGAAATTGAAAGCTTGGGACCTTGAACCCACGTCAGTGTCTATTTTCTTGAGAGACATGATCAAGTTTTAAACACAAAAATTTAGATTTAAAAGTAGTTTTACAATATCTACCATTAAGACAACTGGTTTTGTAACTATTTTTGTATTTTAATAGAAAAAGGTTGCTGCTGACTGAGGTTTTATTTTATGTATTTAAACATAGCCCTGTGATATTCTGCAACTAGAAACATTGCAGTCATGCCAATGCACAAGGGGGGACTAGAAAATGAAACCCATTAAAAAACAAACCCGAAATCCATTCATTTAGAAACCAGCAAAGTGAAACACCAAAGCAAACAAACAGCATCAATGGTGAAAATACACAAAAATATTAAATATTAAATTGGATTATGTTTTAGTCATCTGAGGTATCATAAGCAAAACGGATAAGGGTTTTTTTTTAAGAATATATGACTTTAATTGACTTTGTCCCTTTAATGATAAATTCACAATGAAAATGACATGTCCACCATAATTTTGAAATACAACATAGCTACCACCGATTTGCTGCAAATGCCTTTGCATTATATTTGTTTGTGGCAGAGGAGTAAATTTGACAAAAATAAGTTCTTATACACATCCACCCTTGTGGGATTAATAGCAAGATGAAATCTTTCAAATTAAATAAATGAAAATAAAAATCATACAAAATAATATAAACATTCATCCTGGATCTCCTTAAGCAAGATTTTCCTCAGCACACTGTCTAATACACCAACCTTCATAAAAAAAGTGAAGAAACAAGACCTGTTTATTGAGAATGAGGCAAAAGGATGCAATTGACGTTGGCCTGATATTTTACCTCTTGTTGATTGGGGTAATAACTTTTCCTAACCTCCAATATCGATGTCAGTCCAGCCCCAGAACTCTGAAGCCATTTGTACTGGGAAGAGCACACACAGCTAATAAATGCATGGAACCCGTGCAACTTCTGGTGCATTTGCTGATCCTCTGAGGCCCCTCTCCCAAAGGCTGTCAAAGATGCTAGTGGCAACTCCTCTGATACTTGCCGCGGACAGGTCAAGTGGAGATGTTTTTTTTTAATTTGGAAGAGGAAGAGTTTGCTCTGACATCTCTCCGTGCTCCCACAATGTGTACTCAAGCATTAGTGGACAAATACATCAAATAAATATCAGATAAAAGCACCCAAAATACGCTCAGTAATGCAAAGAAAGAATATATTTTAGGGTATGGTCAGAGAAGATATTCAAAGCCTCCATTGTTGCTTCTAGAAATGTCAGGACAATTCAGAAATGTCAGTTCCTTTACCGGTTTCCAGATTGTAACTGAAGGATCATGTAGCTCTCTCGCTCTTTCTCTCTCTTTCTCTCTCTTTCTCTCTCTCTAAATAGGTCTATAAAGATCAGCTGGAAAGTGCAGACAGAATTGTTCACTGGTTAGCTTTACTTAGAGCTACAGGGTATATATGTGCTTTGTTTTGTCTTATTGATCAATCTAGCTTACATTTTTAGCACACACAAACAAAAGTCAGGAAAAAGAAAATGTCGATGAAAACCACGAACAACACAAAACAAATAAGGTTCCAATCGTGCAAATTTTGCTTCACTGGATAAAGCACTTCTTGACACAGTAATGTCCAGAATCCCCCTCCCCCAGAAAAATACAGGACTGAGACTGAAGCCATTCTTTTTTTTTTCCTTTTTTTTCTTTTTTTTCTTTTTTTTTTTCTTTTTTCCTTAAGGCTATACAAGACAAAGAAAGAAAGCATGGAAAGAACACCTCATTGGGCTGAACACTTCATTCTTCTGGCTCTGGAGCGAGCCTTTGACAAAGCGATTTTGTGGTCCGAGTTATTTGTCTCATTGGGACAACAACAAGAGAAAGAAAAAGAGGAAAAAATGAAAGAAAGGGGGGAAAAAAAAAAGAATAAGAAAGTCAATGATCCCAACAATAAAATCCAAAATTGACTTTACAATCACAGGTACAAATTGCTCAGGTCGATAATTTCATTTCTCCTAAAGATCACTGTCGTCTAAAACTAATTAGAGGCGCAGGTTCCCGAGGAATTGTCAATATTCAAAGCAAATGTTGGAGTTTAGAAGGTTATCATTCTTCTATCGTGACAGTCTGACGGGGTGACTGGAAATATTGTCATGTGCTGCCAAGTTCAGGGTGTCGGTAACGATTTAATCCTTGCTCCGGCTCATGGATCTGTCTCCTACTTGGACTTTTTTTATAGTGGAAAGACTAAGAAGCCGGAAAAGGTTGAATATTTCCACCCTCCCATGAGGTTACCCCTTTCCAGTTTGAGATGCACTTTGTCTTCTCTTTCCATGTGGAGCAAGACCCCATTGCTGGCTGCTTCTCTGGTGACGTCCTGATCCCCTGCAAAAGCTGAAATCACTGGGTAGCCGTTTTGCATTAAACTTACCTAAAAAGTGCAAAGAGAGAGAATCTGAGTTTTCTCAATATTCTCAATGGCTTTTTTGCCCTGTGCACATTACTAAACTTTTGTGCAGGTTAGAAACGAGGTTGAATTAAGCTAAGGCAGTGTGTGATTTCTGTCATGCATACAGACCTCTTTAACTAAAATAACCTACAGTTTTGTTCTTCACTTGCTGGTTTTGTAAATGCACCTTAAGTGTCTAGAAATGAGTATCTGAAAAAAAAGGAAAGACAACATCTGCTTTAGATCACAACCCACCTGGATAGTTTGTCTGTTATAGACCTTGACCACGTGGAAACTGAAACTATATATCCCTTTTCTTGGTGCTACAAATATACTGGAAGCAAGATCAAAATGGTTGCCAATATTAACTAACACCTGGAAAGTAAACAAACAAAACAAAACAAAACAAAAAAGAGAGAGAGAGAGAAAGAGAGAAAGAGAGAAATCAGGCCCCATCTTAGAAAAGTGCCAGTGAAAATCTGACATGAGCTCCATGACCGATATGAAGCCTAGTCGAAATGGCATTTGCAGCACAATTAAAAGTGCACTGCAGGGGAAAGGAGCCAAGTCACAGAGGCATTTAAAAAGCATCACAGTTCATAAAACGATTTAGTTATGCAAAAATGATCTCCAAAGCCTGTTAGATGAAGTGCAAATGTCCACACTGCACTGTCGATAAAGCAAAGGTGGCAGAAGCGTGGAGGGGAGGGGAAAGGAAGGAAAGGAGGGATGGGAAAGAACGCAGAAAAAAAAAAATAACCAAAACTCATCAACTCATAATGCAAATGTCGGGTTTTTTTAGCTAGCACTACTGAAATCAGACCTATCCTCGAGTTTAACAGGGTATAGAACTAAAATCGTACTCAGAGAGGGGCAAAGGAGGAGGATGTTCAGCAACAGCAACATCTGCCAGCTCATGCCTCCCTGTCCCTCTGGAGGGCTGTGCCGCCTGGCCCGCACCCTCCTCAGGCAGCTGGGGTGGGCCTGCTCCTCCTCCCCGACAGCAGTCTTTATTTGTCATATATTTCAACGTCTTTTGAAACAAAGGAAAAAGAGAAAGAGTTGAGCCCTCCGGCAAATTTGCAAAGCCTCATTCAGAAGCGCAAAGCCCTCATTCGGAGGCGCCGCCCGCATCCTCCCCCCACAGAGGCTGGCGGTGCGGAGCCCGCCGATTTGAGTGGGATCCGGCTCCGGCTTCTCCACTCACTCCCTTTCCAGACTCCAGCGACGGGCAGCCTGATTTGGCCCAAAAGGCAGGGGTATCGAGGGGAGAAAAACCCACGGGCCGGTGGCGATCCCGTGAGGCGAGCAGGTGAGCCCGAGCCGGCTGCTCTGCCGTGCCCGCCCCCGGGACGCCCCGGCCACACTCAGCTTTACGGGCTACAACCTCTGTTTCAATGAAGAAAAAGTGAGAGCAGGAGGAAACAAAAACAAACCCCTCAAAATCCCGAGCCTTTCCTCCCAAATAGCCAAACCCTATTGTTTCCAAGAAAGGAAAAAAATGAATCCGTTATTGTGGGAGCACGGAGGGAGGAACGCTTTCAAACTCCTGAGAACTGAGCATTGCGGGGAAAGTGTCTAAAATACACTATACATGAAGCAAGCTCTTTTTTTTCCCCCTCTACTGATCTGACTTTGTGAGATCTTGTACGCGAGGAATAGCTGTGCAAACTCGTTAGGAGGGACAGGTAGACAGATGAATGACAGGAGGACAGACAGATGAAAAAAAAAAGCAGGAAAAACAGTTTGCATGTGCTAATTTTTGCTGATTCTGCAATACTACTTCAGGAGTCAGAGGCGGTAGAAAAAAAGTAAATTTCATCGCAAAAATCAAGCGGAAGGATGGGGCATGGGCTCCGGGAGGCAAGCAGTGCGGCGGGGAAGGGGCAGGACGACGAGGCCGGGCTGTCCGCTTCTCTGCCCGGCGTATGCCGTGCAGGATAACACCGCTCCCTTATAACCCACCGGGGACATCGTTCGCCTCGTTTGATACCGCAGGAAACACCCTCTTGTTCCTCAGCCCTCCCTCCCCCTGAGAGATGCTGTAACATTGCCAAATGCGCTTGGAACAGGCAGATCCGGCGACTCCCCATCGGTAAATCTCTGTCCTCCCCTTGCCCTGAAAAATCAGCATTTCCGAAGGAGCACCGAAGGGGGGATGCGCACCCTTCCCCGCGGGTCGTCCCTGACTGCCCCGGACAATCCTCGGCTGCAAGGCGTCCCCGCAAGCGTCCGAAGCACAAACTCACAGGTTAAAGCCCTCTTCGTAGTAGTGATGGGACAAGAAGTGAGGGTCCCCCCTTCACACCCCACCACCACCCCGGGAAAGCCCGGCAGCCACGTAGAAGAACTTCCCAAACTCTTTCCGGGGAGTTGAGCTGTAAAATTGCTATTGAGCGGGTGGGTCAGGATTAAAAGACGGAAGGGGAGTAAGAAGGAAAATAAGCGTGGGGCGAGGGGCGGGGATGCCCGCGCAGGGAGGCGAGGGGTCGGCTGGCGCGGAGGTGGGGGGCAGCGAAGGCAAAGCAGGCGGCGGCTGACCTGGTCGAAGTAGATGGTCATGGTGCGGTTGCTCATCTCGGAGGGCTCGTGGTTGGTGCTGCGGGTGGCCGAGAAGGCCACCTTGGCGCTGCCCGAGCGCACCGAGATCCCCAGGGAAGAGGTGATGGCGCCGTCGGCCGAGGGGCTGGAGTCGCACACCACCAGGCACTTCCCCTCCAGGACGATGGGCTCCGTGTCGTTCTGCGCCCGCACCGGGCACCCGGCGGG